TCTTTATCTTCAAAGACACTGACTAATATATTTTCTATTCGATTTCAAGCTTTATACTTGAATGCACAAGAAGAAAACAAAACGAAAAGACGRGTTCACAGCTGAGATGAAACGGTTTGAATTGAATTCGAGCGCCAAATCAATAGTAGCTCAGTCATGGACCAGTCATGTGATATAGATGCGGTCTCATTGGATGTTTAAGTCACATGACTAAATATCACGGCACAGGGAACAAAATGGCGCACTGTATGGCGAAGTTAGCGTGTCTTGCATAGCAGAWCCCGTAGCAGAAATAGTTTTTAAAATGTTAATTTTTAAGGAATTTTATTCTGGAGCAAACACATGGYCATTCCAGTCCATGTGATTTCACATCCATGTGAAATTTCGATCCACAATTCTCACATCTTTTTTTCACATGGCTGTGCTTCATCATGAGTTTTTTCACATGCGTGTGAAATTCTGTACGCTTTTTCACATGTTTTTTTTCACATGGTTGTGTAAGCTGTTGAGTTTTTTCACATGCATCTTGAAATTCTTGTGATGTACAGTTCATGTACCATGTTATCAATTGTGAATGTATATTTAATGTACACCTCATATATACAAAGTTAAAAAACCCAACCAGATGTATATAAGATGTATACGGAGTATATATGATGTACATTGCTCTTTATACATTAAGTATACATCAGAAATCTTGAATTTTGTCTCAAATTGGTCAATGTATAGATAATGTATACAACAATAATACAGATTGCAAAATATGTACAGTTGTTGTATACATTTAAGCCAGAATTGTATACATTTTGTATAACAAAAAACTGGTAAGGGTAGTTTGCTGGGTATGAAGCAATCTACATTGTAGTGAATCACGCGACTAAAGGACGAAATTTGATCCTCAGGGGCCGGTTGTTCTATCAAAGGTGAATAACGCTAGCTATCATCGGAAAAATAGTTATGTAGCAGACATTTTTAGTGGCTCGATTATCTCCCGCTAAAA